TTCCTAAGGTACAATTAGTTTAGTTCATTATTCCAGTTAGTTAAACATTTTCTGTCTAACTAAACCCAACAGACTGCACTGAGTCACTGACTTGTTGTGTTTGTTACTTTACAGCAGGGATGGATGATCCCGGTCTTTTGATGGCCTCTATACAGCATGTTTTAGTTGTTTCCCTCCTACAACACATCTGATCTCAATCAGCAGGTGGTTAACATGCTTTTCTGCAGAGCTTCCTGAGCTGTTGAAAAGGCGATTCAACCACTGAATCGTATGTGTTGGAGGAGGAAACCACAGCCAGGGTTCCCCACGCCCCTGCTTTACAGCAGTCCTCATACAGCACTAAGCAAGTATGTAGCGACACTGGAGAGGAAAACTCCCCTTTAACAGGAAGTACCCTCCAGCAGAGTCTGGCTCAGTAAGAACAGCCGTTTGCTACTGGGGGTTTGAGAAGAGTTATATTAATGATTATGAGTTGTAATACTTTTTGCTGTTCTTTGCTTGTGTAGAAACACTATATGCAATATTTCCATCAGCCATTGGTTTGTTTAGAAACGGTAACAAAGACTAACCAATCAGAATGAAAATACAGAACTTGTAGTTTAATTTCTTCTTGTAGACCTTATCCAGACTGTGTCTTGATTTTCGGATATAACTATAATGAAATAAAATAAGGACACTTAAAAAAGATAGAATTACTGGTTACTTTAAGTCATTTTTTTTTCTTTTCAGTCACTCGGCAAACGTATGTCTTATCCACCATACACTCACCTTATTATATACTGTGGATTTCACTGATATTCTGCAGGAAACAGAATCAACTTGTTTTTCATGCAAACTCAGCTTGTTTCAAAAACAAACCCCACCAATTATGTTAGGAAAAAAACATCCTACTCATGTTAAGACTAATGGCTAATCCCAAGGCTGTAGCTTCTTTTACTGAATCTGCCACATTTTCAGTGTCTCCCAATGTCCTTCCAGGTTGAAGGACAGAACCACATCATATACTTTAGTCAATCACCAAAGAGCACACACGCTGAGTACTCACATTTACATTTAAATACACGCTTTTAACTGATGCACTTTAGTGCACAGCGACCTGCAACGAGAGCAACAGCAGTTCCAGCTTTTGGATTTCTTAATAGAACAAAGATCAGCAGGAATAACCTTTAAATGCGTCGACTTATGCGGTGGTGAAAAGAGGAAGCTGAGACAAATAAATAATTGGAAGAAATCAGACCTGACAGGCCAGAAAGTTTTTGTTTTTAGTTCTTAAAAGGTTCGCTTCTCTGAAGTGTGCTTCCATTTGAATCTTGAAAAATATCCACATAATAACGTCAAACTAACATCTTCAAGAGCTCCAATCTAAAGCTTCAGGCTATAAACAGGGTCTGTTTGGGTCAGTGTTCTTCAGTCGACTGCTAATACAAACATACAAGTCATTTCATTTCAGAGAGATGTATTTTTGCCTACCTACATCAGTTCTAAAGAAGCAGACTGGGGAGCGTCAGAGGCTTTTAGGTGCATCCCACAGGGTCCAGAGCTAAATGAAAGGTGGTTTGATTTGGCTCTAACTTGATTGGGCTGCTCAAATGTTGCTGTGCTGAAGGAATGCATATCGGTAACTGGTGAATGATATGGTTTCATTCCACCTTCTGTGGATTTATGACTTTAAACCAAACAGAAACCAAATTGGATTAAGGTCCTTTCAACACACAGAACACGGGGTAATGTGTGGTCTAATGCATGGCTTTAGGCAGTGATTCAATAAACATGCTGGGTATTATGTAAGTGCTCTGAGTAGAGTCTGCATTCAGATGAAAGAGGTCATAAGTGAGAACAGTAAAGTACCAAACATTTAACTTTCATTGTTTATTTCAGTCTTTTATTCATGACACAATCTCTAAAATTTACCCTTCGGATAATGATTCCTTTGTTTTCATCCATTTTCTGTGAATGACCACATAAAACAACGCCAATACTCTGCTAAATATATCGTATCTGCAGCAAAGTTAATCCTCTGAGTAGCCACGTACCAAACCCAACAACCTAATACATTTCTGTGCACTTTACATCATGTTTCACTCAGAACAGCCTTTATTCCTCGTAGCACAAACTCAACGCAGTGCTGCAAACATTCCTAAGACTTTGGTCTGTAATTGTTATGATAGCCTCCCACAGATTGGTCATTGGTACATTTATGACGTGAATCTCCTGTTCCACAACATCCAAAGGTTCTAGACTGGGTCTGGTGACTGTGGAGGTCACTGGAGGCCAGTGAACCCATGGTCATGTTCTAGAAACCAGTAAGAGATTATCTGAGCTTTGTGACATGGTGCATGATCCTGCTGGAAGATGGGTCTACTATAGGGATGGAAACTTGAGTAAGCTGTGGTGTTTTGACCATACTCAGGCTTGGGTGTTACTAAGGGATCAAAAGTGGGACAAGAACATCTCCCACCACCATTACACCACCAGCAGCAGCCTGGACTATTGGAACTCAGCAGGATGGGTCCATATATGCTTTCATGCTGACACCAAATTCTGAAGGTTGCAGCTGAAATTCAGCTGTCAGACCAGGAAACACGCTTTCTGATCCTATTGTCCAGTTGTGGTGCACCGGTGTGATTTGTAGCCTCAGTTTCCTGATCTTAGCCAACAGGAATGGCACTCAGTGTGGTCTTCTGCTGTGAAGGTTTCAGATGTGGTTCAGATGTTTCAGGAGCTCTGCAGACCTTTTTGTAAAAAGTGTTTATTTAAATGATTGTAGCCTTTCTATCATTTCAAATAAGTCCACCCATTCTCCTCTGGCCTCTTGCTTCAACGAGGCTTTTTCTTTTGTCCACAGCTGAAGCTCACTGAGTATTTTCTCTTTTTCAGACCAATCTCTATAATCCAGAAGGTTGCGGGTAAAGATCCAAGTTTCTGAAATGCTCGGCCTATCTGGCAGCAACAACCATGTCCATTCAAAGTCACTTAAATCCTCTGCCTTCCTCATTCTGATGCTCAGTTTGAACGTCTCCACATCTAGATCCCTTGAGGCATTGAGTTGATGATATATGGACTAGTGAGTGTATGTGACAAAACACTATACACTGTAAAAAAAATTTAAACAGTGTGGTTTTCTGTGTAGGGAGGACATAATGGTGACTGGTGAGTTTTCAAAGCATCACATCTATATCAAATAATGTTTTTCTTCCAGGAGTTTGGTACAAATTGCCAGCTAAGAAATTACAAAATGATTATCGAGATGGTCCTTTTATTTTATTACTGGGGTAATACCAGTGGAAACCATACCAGTAACAGTGAGTTGCTGCAGTGGTGTTATGCCGTGTTCTGTATCATGTGTGCACACGTTTGGAATTTCCATAAACACCATATATGGAATAATGTCGTTCACCAAGGGGTGATGTAGAGTAAATAATAAAGTTAGTTAGGAAACGCAGCAACAGCATCCATTGGTTGGACTAAAGGAAGGATGCACCATTTATTTAGATCTTTTCCAAAAACAAATGGTCCAGGTATTTGTTATTTCTCCCAAATCCAGAACTGTGTTGGTTTTCAGGATCAAATCAGTGGTTTTAGTCTAATCCTACCAACATCTACACCATATTTAGTTTAACTGGGGTTTGATAGAGAACCCTCTAGGGACCAAGAAACAGCAGTTTACGTGTGTGTGCGGAGTGTGGGTTGGCCTTGTACAAACACTCCAATCCCACATCTCTAATGGATCCATTATTTCCCGCTGTATGGAGATTTCAACGTTCCTATTGAACCCAGTTCAGGTGTTAGCATACATGCACTCTTCAGCTGTCATTCATTAACATGTCATTAGAGCCCTGTGTGTCATGCATTCAGCCTTTATTTACTGGCTCTCAGATTCTGTGTGTCACAGAAAGATTTGGACTGTCAGCACATCTCACTTCTATGCAAACCCATATAGGCTTTAAGGGCTCTCCAGGTGAACATGAAGAGCCTGGGTATGTTTGCTGATTAGATTTTTTTATAGCATACTTGCATATGGAAATCTGATCTTTTATTTTCCAGTCTGGTGCTTTAAGCATCCTATTTGCAGTGTTTGGTACTCCCCTCACCACACACTCCTCTCTCTCTTTTCTCCCACCATGGTTTGTTTTACAAGTCCTCTTTTGGAGGGAACGAGGTCTGTGCCAGTGGCAGTGGGTGTTCAGAACAAATCCGAAGCCGTGCCTCTCCTCTCTGAGGATTTCTTGCAGCCACATGCAGCAGATTCAACAAAAGTAGCTGACAGGTAAATGCTGTACTTATGGTTCAGGGAATTTGTGAGAAATTGTGCAGTGCGTGGCCGGGATTCAGAGTGACTGATGGAGCATCAACATCACACACACGCGCGCGCACACACACACACACAAGCACGCACACTGTAGGGGCTGAAGGACAAGTCAGACTCAGAGGCTGTTTGGGTAAGAAGGAGTGATTGGATCTGACTACATTCACGCTCACACTACACTGACTCAGGCTGGGTTATTAGAGACTCACGCGCAGCTAAACACAATCAGAACGTGAATCCACAACTATAAAGTGCACAGAGCACCTACATGTTCTTGCATTCATTGTGAAAACTCTTTAAATGATAGTTACGCCTAAAAGACCTGATTTTATTTGACAAAAGCAAGTTTTTGTATATATACATATTTTTGCGCAACAGGATGCTTTTTGGTTTCAGGACAGCAAAGCCCCCTCCATCCGTGTTTCACGGTGATGAAACGAGCCTTAAGTGTGATTCCCCTGAAATCCCCATAGCACCCCCCCCCCAGCCTATGTGATCAATCATGCGTCACTGATCCTCTGGCGTCTGCACCGACCGTCTAGCTCAAATGCACCCGGCAGCAGCGCGCTGCGCGTTTTTACGCGCATGGCACAAAAACGCACAGCAACGACTTTCTTTACCGACGCTCCTCCACCCACACACACTCCCCAAACCCTTTTTATGTAAACTGCACTTTTTTTCCCTTAACACTCACCCAGGGTGTGAACGCAGCCCTCCCCGTGCGTTTCTTGATGTTTGAATCCAATGAAGAGAGAGGAGACTGAGCAGCAAATGCGCCACAAAAGGGATAGTGGACGCAGCCAAACGCTACCGACTCTCCTCTCACCTTACTTCTCTCCTCACTCTTCCCCGTGTCCCTGAGGCAAGTTGAATGGCAGCTGCAGTAATCCAGACATCGTCCCCGTCATCAGCACAGAAGTAGTCAAGAGAGAGGGCTCAAGTTCTGCAGCTGTGGGGATTTCTCCTTTCCGACTGGAGATGCCGTTCTGTGTAATCCGCGCTCTCACGCCGTCTGCGGGAGCAGTCCTCGGGTTTGCTTAGCTCCCACGGTTTTTTTTTTTTTAGTTCAAACGTGACTGAAACGCACTGGACTAGTCAGTTTGCTCTGAAAAACAAATAAAATGAGAAATAATCCTCTGAGGATGTCCTCTTTCTAAGTTCTCAGCCAAATCAACTCTCTCCTCAGAGGGGCTGTAGTGCACCTGCGGCCGGAGCGGAGACGCGCAGGTGCCTCTAACTGCTCAGCATCCTCCGCATCTCTCAGAATGTTCCATCCCGCTTTTTTGTCTTTAATATCATTAAAAGGAGTTTGTTTTATTCCCAGTTTCTCTGCGCCACAGTCATCCTGCCGTGATAGCGTCGCTTCTCCGAGAAGCTCAGGCACAAAAAAGATTCTCTTCCCAGCACTCTCCTCTCCTCTCTCTTCCTCTCAGCTCTCCTCAACAAGCCCTGTCCATCCTACTGTTCCAATGCCACGCCCATCTCTGCTGCGATAGGTTGGGAGCCGGAAAGGGGATGGAGGTGATGGGCAAAGGGGCTGCGAACTCGGGGAGACGGTGAGGGGGAGAGAAAATCGGGGAGGGACGGGATAGAGAGGCTGGACCTAGATGGAGAGGATGGAAAGAGAGACGTGGGATGCAAAAGAAGTGGAAGGGAAGAGGAGGGAGGAAAGCAGAGTAAAGGAGGGTGTGTAAGGGTGGGTTCAGTTCATGCACTGAGCTCTATGTGTTCTATGGCTGGCTAATGAAAATGGAAATCCATCCCTCCCTTTTTACCCTCTAATTCACTCAGTGCTTTAGCCAAATGAGTCCATTGCAAATCTGCTTAAACAGAATTCATACCGACACTCACTTCTGTCTGCCGGTCTGCCTGGGTTTCCTCCTCTTTTCAAAATTTGGAGGCTTTCAGCTCCAGCGTCCTCGCTGAGTCTGTGATGAATAGGTAAGTGGCTAAAGGGGAGCAGGAGTGAAGAGCATGTTGAAACTCGTGCCCTGTTGGTGTCAGGAGGGAAATCAGAAAAAGCCTGTGCCTTCTTTGTAATGGAAGCAAATGAGGTGGGCCGGATATTGTTGTGGTACAGCTGCACATGCAGGAGAAGGAAGACAGAATCACTTGAAAGCAACTGGGAGAGGCTTTGATTGATGGCAACGCTTCAGGGAGTGTTTCAGTATGAACTTGGTTAACGTGGAGCTCCACCAAGCATTCATCACCAGCAGGAGTGGGACGCTCACCACAAGCTAGGCAGCATTTTATTTAGAAAGGCACCTGGGGAACATCTTAAACAGGAGTGGTACCCTTTTTTTTTTTGCTCACATCAACGAATCTCCAGAACTTCCTCAAAATCAAAGCATCTGCAGTGAGACAGTAGCAACTTCCAGTTGTTCATTTAGCTTAAGCTGCTAGGCAGGGGAGGCTGCCTGTGGTGCAGAAGATAATACACTACAGTCAAAAATTACATTCTAATTACAGTTAAAGACATTCATAAACGAGCTGAAATCATTTAGACTAAAATGCTTTATTTGGTTCAGAGTCTTTAATAAACTTTAGATAAATTTAAACAAAAAAATGGCTTCACTTGTTGTGTAACATTTGCTCTAAAGACACAAACCGTGTTTAACTGCTTATAATTCAAACCACTAGTTATCTAAAATCAGAATTCATGGATATGAATTTTGTGAACTTTATAAACACAAATGTCAAATGTTTTTGCTTCCCTTTCTAGGATTTGAAAAGCCTGATAGTGTGACATCACACATTCCTGGACTCACCCATCTTCTCAGTGGCTAGTGGTCGTGTCCACCCTGGAACTGGGAGATTGTGTCATGTGGTGTGGGTGGAGATGATGGACCAAGTGTGGTGGAGGGTTCCAGGAGGCAGGAGAGCAGGCACGGATGAAAAATAAAAATGGTTTTAATGGTGGAATGGGAATGACAGGAACAAAACAACAATGACTACAAGCAACATGACAGAATGATCCGACCAACCTGGACCTGTGGTGAGCTCTTCAACATCTGTTCTAGAGGATTATTTTTTCTTTTTTCTCCGTTCAGCAGAGGGAGATACTGACTCAAGGGTTTTTGGCACATCCTACCTGTTTCCGGGGGTGGTCGAACCATTGAGGGGGTTTCGGCGCATACTACTCGTTCCCGGGGTGGTCGAACCCCTTCTCCTCTCCTGCTTTCTGCCCCCGTCCTTTTTTTTCCGATGGAAGCCGAGGATCCTGGAGTTTTGATGGAGGTAAAACCCCCTACGCACGCCAACATTCTCCGGGGTGGTAGGGCTGGTCTTCCTGCTCCATGTTCTGCTTCCCTTCACCCGAGCCTCCGCCTGTTGGATCCAGTCGAGCCACGGTGTGCACCTGCTCAAGACTGTTGTTTGTCGTGTTGTTCCTGTCGTATCCTGTCATTAAACCCATTTTTACTTTATCCGTGCCTGCATTCCTGCCTCCTGGTCAGCTCCACCACACTTGGTCCATCATCTCCACCATCACAACATGACAGATTGGGGTTCAAATCCAAATCATCATACCAAATACTTAAAAAATGGGACCTAATGCCTCCCTGCTTGACTCCCAGCTTTAAGAGGTTGGATTGAGGGACCAAACCACCAAATAGTTCTTGAGCATGGTCACAGCTGCAGCTCACCACTCCTCACAGGGAATGTGGAGATGTATTTCACCAGTGTGTGACTTTATCTCAAAGGGACAGCAGTAGCTCAGGAGGTAAAGTGGGTTGTCCAGGGGTTGGAACGTTGCAGGTTCAATCCCAGTTCTGGCCAGAAAACGCTGCTGTTGTGTCCTTGCTGGTGGTGGTTGGAGGGACCGGAGGCCTCACCTCTCTTAGTGTGCCTCAAGGCAGCTGTGGCTAACTTGCAGCTTTAACCCCACCAGTGTGTGAATGGGTGAATGACTGATTGTGTAGTGAAGCGCCTTGGTGGGTCCTGGAAGTTAATACACAAATATAGGCCATTTACCATTCATCTTGACTTGCGACGGGGGAAAGCTGATGCTGGTTTAGTATCCAGGAAATGGCAGAAAATATTGGGCCATTCCCATCTGTACCGGGTCGGCCTGGGCCGGGTAGAGTTGTTTGTTTACATATCTGGGTGGCTTGGTATTTTTCTGGGCCAACCAAGGCTCATTCTCAGCCCTCTTCTCGAGGGGGTCTGCTTCAGGCCGACCAGGGCCAACACACCCACTGCTGACAGCAAATTCACACCTTCCATTAGAGCAAGCCTCTGATTGGTGGGTAGAATCAGCCCACATGGGCTTAAGACAAGGATGTGTGGAATCAACCGGGCCAGGCTGGGGCCGACTGGAGCTACCCAGCCCGGGCCGACCCGGTACAGATGGGAATGGCCCATATGTTAACTTACTGTTAGCATTAGCAACTCTACCACACATCAAAACTCCTCCAGCCTCATGTTATTTGTGGAGATACAACATCAGTGTTGAAAAGCAGAGTCACTGGTAGAGTCACATTTCTGTTAGCCAATCGGAGGTGAGATGTCGAAATTACAGGAAATAACGCCGGTTTCTCACTGGAAGCATCAGCGGCTCAAAACGGCAGTTTGACGGTTTACTCGCAAACTTCAAGCGGTCCTCTTCACACCAGGAGATTCTTGGCAGCGGCACGGCTTCCTCACTGTGCTCTTCGCTGGACTCGTGAGATCACAAGATCCCTCAAGACTTCACGGTTTGTTTATGCAATCTGCCGTTAAACCAAAAAGAAGGAAAACATGTTTGATGTCATATATGATATTGTTCCTCTCCACTGCAGGATCAAAGCCATAAAAAACACACCGCTGCACTTCTGGGACAATGCCGTGTGAGTAAATAAGCCATTGGGTCCCACGCATGCTTCATATATGAAATTGCAATGCTGCAGTTTTTTTGTTTTGTAATTTACCGCTGATTTTACACTGAAACGTTGCAACTGAATGTTACCTGCTGAAATTGACGCATCCCAGCAGCGTGGTTTGAAAAGTGTTTCAAACCACGCTGCTGGTTTGAAACACTCCATAGACTATTATGGATTCTATTTAAAGCAGCAACGTTGCGCTGCCGTTCCGCGTGAGACTCGTTTCCCACTACTTTCCCCTCTGGCTGAATTCCTCATGGTGAAACAGCCTCACCTGAGCTTTGTACAACTTACAAGGTCTTCATTCCTACTGTAGACCACTGCAAATGGATTCAAAATGAGTACATTTGACCTTTAGGTTCATAATCACTTCCTTTCAGCTTCCATGTTTAATATTCTTTATGTGTCACCCCATTTCTACATACATTTTCCCTTTCTGAATATAAAAATACAAAAAACTCAAAAAAAAACCATAAATACATAAAAACTCACCATTTGTAGATCTGATGCAGCACTAAGCAGCACATGAACATGAACTCTTTGGTTCTCTAATGCTATTTCTGCAGGTCTGAGGTCCCAACAGGACAAGTTTTAACCAAATCAGTGTGCTCATGTGATGAGAGGGTGATATAAAATGACATGCACCAGCGAGGGAGAAGAAGTAACAATTAGGAGTCTTGTGAATCAAATCAAAGAGTGTTGAAATGTCAGTTTTGTCAAAGCACAAACTGTCAGCCCACCTCCTCACGCACCGACAGCTGGTAGGGAGCATATTGCATCAGTTTTCCTCATGCTGGGAGGCCTTGGAGTGTCCCTTTTGACATGTAGGGTATTGAAGATTAGTAACAAACAGGTTGGAGGGTGTGTTGCCATGGCAATTTATTAAATAAAATAAAAAATAAAGTATTTTTGAATTAAATTGAATTGAACCGAATTGAACTGAAAAGGATGGCTATCGTGTGTTTTAAATGGCCTGTATTTGATATAGCGCCTTCTAGAGTCCTGAAACCCCCCAAGGCGCTTTACAACACAATCAGTCATTCACCCATTCACACACACATTCACACACTGGTGGGGATGAGCTACAATGTAGCCACAGCTGCCCTGGGGCGCACTGACAGAGGCGAGGCTGCCGAGCACTGGCGCCACCGGTCCCTCCGACCACCACCAGCAGGCAACGTGGGTTAAGTGTCTTGCCCAAGGACACAACGACAGCGACAGACTGAGTGGGACTCGAACCTGCAACCTTCCGATTACGGGGCGAGCACTTAAGTCCTGTGCCACTGTCGCCCCGGATGCCCCCCGGACAAAAACAGGAGCTTTATGTAGGAGGTGCTAAATGTCAAGTATTGCATTCAAAAGGTAACAGAAACATTTTACCACGTTTAGCTTCAAATAATAACCTAATAAAGACAGAAAATAATTTAGATGTGTAAAGTTCAATCTATTTGGATTTGAATCCTAACAAAGTAAAATTGTATGATATATATATATATATATATATATGATTTCATGTTATTTAAGAATGAATATACCCACTGTGCAAAGATCTAGTTTGGACATTCTACAGACATGGGCTGGACCGTCACACTC